GCACTTAATAACCTTGGTACGGAAAAGCAGTTTGTTGAAAATCATTCAAATCGACCTAAAATTACACCCGCTTCCCGTATAACGGTAAAGTTCAGAAATGCGAAAACTCCCATATTTCAATAACTGAGGACTCTAATTTACTTCAAGTTAATATTTACAATAAACCCCTAACAATAAATAAGACTGCTATAGACTTTTAGGAATTGGGTGTAGCACCGCCCACTTTATACTACAAAGGTGTACCTCGGTAACCACTTAATCGATTTGTACCTAGCTAGGTTCAATTATATCATTAAGTCTAACTCTGCATATTATCGAAAACGTTTGAAAAAGACCTTAACTTATCATGCAAAGGTAAATCAGAGAAAGTTGAAACGACGATATTTGACACCTGCGCCGGGTATATAAAGTTCGGTTTCGCTCCTTCACTTGTTTTAATTCCATTTTATATAGTATGCGTAAAGGGTGGTCCAAAAACAGTAAAGTCGGAATTGTAATGCTCTCACCTCCTAGGATTGTTCTATGTCGAAAAAGTGTACCCCTATTTTTTTATTTTGAAATCAGAAAATAGTTGGAGGTCGCTCAAAGCGCTCAAAGTTTTCCATGTATTTTTATATAGGAAAAAAACAATTTTTCGTAGAAATGATATAGAATCCTTGAAAATCAATATTTTTCGATCGGAAAACTCTGTTTCTCTTCAGGAGACCTTCAGTAAAACATAATACCCAATTGTTTATTTAACCATGTTTTAATACCAACGATTTGTTATTGGTCTTCCCATTGCATTTTTCGGGGTTTTTGGTGGACCTATAAATTATAGTTGCGATGAAAAAATTTTTAAATAAACAATTGGGTATTATTATTGGGAATCTCCTGCAGAACAGAGTTTTCCGATAGAGATGATTTTTAAGAATTATATACCATTTCTACAAAAAGTTTTTTTTCCATATAAAATACATGGAAAACTTTGGGCGCTTTGAGCGACCTCTAAATATTTTTTATTTCAAAATAAAAAATGTGGGTATATTTTTTGCGGTATAGAACAATACTAGAGGGTGAGAGCATAAAAATTCCGACTTTACACTGATGACAAATGCAAATAAGGATTAACATTTTAAAACTAATTAATACAGTTAAAGTATGCATATTAAAGATGATAAAATATGACTTCGATAAATATATCGAATAAACTAGTTTTCGTAAATATTTAAAATTTACTTGCTGACATATTTTACTCAATTTAAAATGTGCATATATGTACATTTAAACTGTCGTGGAAAAAGGTTGCTGGCATCATATTGCCAACGTGTTTGGACCATTTTTCCCCTCGTTAACAGAGTACAGCTTTGTTGTAAGAATGTTGAGGAATTTTATACATTTTCGTCCGTTGCTGTGGATCATTGCTTACGATGGAGTCTTACGCCTGCCTGTTGTGTGTTAAAATAATTGACTAATAATTGACTATGCGGATGATATTGACTACGCGGAAGTACTGCTAACTTGGTCGACGAATGGCTTAAACGTAATGGTTTCCGGCTAGCTATCCAGAAAACTGAAGGTGTACTTATAACAAGCAGGAAGAAGAAAGACAGTACGACTTTGAATATAAATGGGTATGTATTTGAAACCATCCCAACAGTAAGAACCTTAGGTGATGATATACGCTAGGTTATCATACAAAATACACATTGAAACGGCTATTAAGAAAGCGGCTACAGTCCATAATGCGTCAACTAGGTTAATGGCAAATTTAGGAGGTCTTAGCCAGAATCGAAAGAAGCTCTTGAGTAAGGTAACACATTCGCAAGTTATGTATGCGGCCCCTGTTTGGGGGCATGCACTCACACATAAATCGTACGCTAATAAATTAAACTCGATTTTCCCGCTTAGTGCCCTACGTATATGTAGTGCCACTAAGCCACACGGCCAGTGTGATTGCTGGTATAATGACTGTTGATCTAATGGCTAGCGAGATTCAGCGCACCTATTTAACCTCCCGATCCACTGGCAGAGCCCTCTCTAAGCACGAGATCGCGGCCGAACGCCAAAAAAGCCTCGCCCAATGGTGGGAAGCGTTTTCGTCGGGTCGCTGGACTTTCAGACTCATCCCGCGCATCGAAGCCAGGCTTAGCAGATCACATGGCGAAGTAGATTTTTATATGACCCAACTCCTGAGTGGAAATGACTGTTTCAGGCAGTACTTATGCAAGTATGGTCATGATGACATAATGGCGTGTGGTTCATGTGGAAGCGTACCGCAAACTGCCGAGCATATATTCTTTACATGCCCTTCTTTTCTTTTTCATATATGGTAAATGACATTAAGGTCTGAGACGGAGTGAAATCTGACTGAGCTTAGAGTAAAAGAACAACGCCGCCGGATAGAGTAAGGTTATAATGAGTGAAATAAATGAAGTAATTGAAATTAATTGTGTTTCACTCTTGTTTTTTACTCCGCAGGAAATCTTTCTACTAAGCACAGACGGCAAAACGCTCCTGAACCCCTTTTCACAAATGTGGATGAGGGAATATGGAAATGGCGTTAAGAAGCCAGGCATTTTGTAGTCTACGGCCCCTATCTGATGAAATGCGGGCCACTTGATGGATAGTGCGCTATCCCAACGCCTGTACAAAACAAAAAAAAAATATGTATGTACATGTGTGTCTACATTAGGGTGCTTTTTGTTTCGGCAAACTTTTTTTTTTTTACTCCCACCTCGAAATTTTGTGGGTACTACCTAAAAACAAGTTCCCTGAAAATTTTAGCCCTTAATATTAACATTAAGTGCTCGTCCAAGGCGTGTAAAGATTTCCAGTTCGAAATACACGTAAAATTTGATTCTTTTTCTTCAAATACTACAGCTCAGAGGCATTTTGCGGTATAATCTTGGTCAATGATAGGGTTTCTTCAGAATTGAATGCTCTACAAAAGTGCCCATTGCGGCTTAACCCCCCGGCTCCCCCCAGCGAGTTAGTACGGGCCACCAAACCCAATTTTTTCATGAAATTCTCGTTTTTGCCCCTATCTCGTAAATAACAAGAGCTACAGAAAAAATGTCAATGGCAATTTTTTGGGATATTGGACTTTGAAGTTTATCAACAATCATGTTTGGTCTAGGGTGGATTTCTTTTTTATTTTGGTTACTCTTTTCAGGAAATACCCATATGCCAGTAGACAAGATTAGTAATAAGAAAAATAAATTGCTATAAAAAAGTTAGCTTTAAAGGCAGCCCTAAATTTCAGTCTGCCACAGAAAGATATTTGACTGTGTAATTTGCGTGCCCGGATTTATTCTTAAATAAAACAACTAAACGGTTGTTCTAAATCCTGAATTTGTCCCGACAATAAGTCTTATTCGACCAGTGTGCTTTGGGGCAGTAGGCATCGATGCGTGGGCTGTTGTACTTAAAGTAGGAATAATATTAAGAGGCTGTAATTGATCTAATCTAATCTAATCTGTTCACTATTGCAAAAGGAGAATAGAATTATCAATTTCAATATGTACGTATATATTCTTAAATATTTGACAGTTGATTGATTAGAGTAATATTACATAATATCTGTGCTCATAAGCAATAAACGTCTAAGTCAACTTAAAAAAGAATTATAGTTATATATGTTACCGTATTCCGTAACTACTATTCCATTCGTGTGTGAAAACCCCATCTCGCCAGCTAGGCTATTTAAAAAGTTAGAGACGAAAGTATTTTTGTTTCCCCATATGGCTAACATTATAATCCAAATATTTAACTTTTTTTCTAGATTTCAGGGCTCGAATCGTCACATACGATATCGTATTACTCGTCACGTAAAAACGCCGTTTTCGGATTATGACATACGTGAGCGTACTCTTTATCCCATTCAACTTCTACGACCGACGGTATCACGTAATTTTCTTTCGTATGGTTTTCGATCCGTGAACGGATGTTACGATTCGAGCCCAGGTTTTTCGACATAGGCGGTTATTGCTTATGACCACAGATATGTGCCTACATAAATACATAGTTAGTACATAATGCTTAAAAAATGTTTATTTTAATAAATTTGCAATCAGTACATCTCAATATGTTCACTTCATCATTTAATGTTCTTAAATATTCTAAGTATAAGTATGTTTGTGTATGTATTATAAGTAAATTAAATATATTGAGTCGTATTTATAGTCAAATTAAAGTCGACTCTAAAATTAGCTGCAGCTTTTTGAAATAATTTTCAATGGAATATTTGTTAAAAAAGCTGCAACTCAATTTATCGACTTTATTTCGACTATGAATATTCCCCAATATATGTACATCCAATTAGAGCTCTAAAATTATATAAAGTTCATCCTCGTCTCTTTACATTGGGAAGTGTGTGTATGTATAGATGTGAGAAATGAGTAAGAGCCGAAAGAAATGAATGCAAAAGAGAAGAATATCCCATAGGAAATTAATGTTAAGCATAGTCTGAAAGTTATGTAAACAGTGAACCAAATAGGGAAACATAAGCATATATAAAACAAAAGTGTTGATTTTAAACAGCCAAAACCAATTTAAAGCACAATTAAATTCGAGTTACTAGTAAATAAGAGGTACCTCAGTTACCGGAAAAGGCAAATTAATAAATTCGACAATTTTCAAAGATGCACGATATAAAAAAAAACTATGTGAGAATTGCATTTAAATAACAACGATGCGGCATTAAATGTTTATATGTGCAACAACATGTGAAATTTTTATAAATTAATATGTACACATGTTTTTAGGTGCTAAGCATCAAAGCTAAACTTTCACCAAAAGCCTTTAAAATCATTAACAATGCAAATTAAATTTAAGTTGATGTTTTAGATGCAAGAAATATGCAAATGACCGATATCACATCGCATTTAGCGCACACACATAACAACGTATGTACATGTGTATGTATTCAGATACATATGTGTACGCTGATTGCTTGATATAATATTTGTCAATTTAGATATGTATGTTAAGCTCATTTGATTTGTATGACATTCACTCACCTCTTTTCATCCGCAACACAATTGTCACACTCGGCGATAGTATCCCGAAGTACGTTACGATGGTGAACTATAAGATGCCTTTCGTCCTCATAATTGTAATCCACCTCATAATTCTCATCATCGGAATGCAGGTTTTGGTGTTCACCAGCGATGGTTGTAGCAACGGGGGCAGAAGAAGAGCCGAGGGAAGTATCATTCTCATCGTTGTCATTCGCGGAGGAGCCATCCAATAATCGCGATTTCTTATCACGACGAAGCGTTGCAATTTTCTTTTCTTCTTCTTGCTTTAACTTCTCAACTTCATCCTTTGACAGGAATGAAAAAACTTTTTCTATTGGTGTGTGCAAAAAGAAAAGAAAAGTGGAAGAATAATGTATGTATGTGAACAATATAAAAGAGCATATACATAGAAAAGTCGTGAACAAAGAAAAAACAACTGAGAAAGGCCATTAAATTCTTCATTCACGCAAACTTTGCCTGACAAGTAAAGGCGCCTTTGGCTTCATGTGTCGAGTCTACAGGACTGTTATCTGAGCAATTGGATTGCATATTCAAATATTTCGAATTTGCAGGTTGACTCCTTCGCTAAACCATATTTATATGTATGTACATAGTATAGGTAAGAACTTACAGCTGTACCTAAACAAAAACGTTGAAGGGAGCGTTTTCTGCAACAAAACAAAAGCGTCAACGCTACGTCAAATGTGCAAATAGCAGAAACAATGAGCGCAGGTCTGTGTCTGTGAAATACGAAAATCACATTTTTACGTTTTCTACACCCATTCTTCCAGCCTGTCGAACATGACCATCGCACACATTCAAACCAGGGACCGAACATAACCGTTATTGATGAAAACTGTTATGGAAAATTCACTATGAAGGAAATATTCTACAACTAAGTGATACATACCAATCGATTTCTTTTTTCCGAGACTCAAATTGAAAACAAATTTTTATTCGCAATTTTTATGCAAAATTAAAAAATATAACAATTATTTTTTATTTTTATATTATAAATCCAAAATAACAATTATTTTTGTTTTTTTATAATATATGCCTTGGATAACAGTTATTGAAGACTTTTATTTATAAAAGTTATAAATAACAAGTAAGAAAGTCTAATTTTTAACGGGGCCGAACATTAAATACCCGGCGCAAGTATTAAATATATGTTTTTCACCTCTCCGAAAGCTGCCGCTACATGGTAAGCCGGTGTGTATCAATTTTGAGTAAATTAGCGTCCTCAAATTTCGAAATATTGAAGTTTCAAGCATTTCTGAAATTTACCGTTACATGAAAAGCGGCCGTAATTTTAGTCCGATTTCAATAATTTTCAACGTTTTGCTTTTATGTGGCAAGCACAATAACCATACCGGGTTTAATACAAATTGGTAAACGGCTACCGAGTTACATATCGTTGCCTTAACATAGAAAGGCCCTATCTGACATCGTCGCTGATTTACAAAAAGTGGTAACTAACTAAAAATCGAAAATTTACGTTTTAATTGATTATGATGCAGTTGATCGAATTATGTGGCCTCACATCGTTTTATGCAATAAAAGATTTTAGTTAGTTACGGCTTTGTGCATTTCAGCGACGATGTGAGATAGGGCCTTTCTATATTAAGGCAACGATATATGTGATCATAAGTGGGCGGTGCCACGACCATTTTCCAAAATTTTATCATAAACGTATTTCTTGGTGAAGGATTGTGGCAAGCGTCACTTTTGAATAAATTTGCTTTAATATTTACTAATTTATCGAATAGATTTTGTATTTGGATGTGGGCTTGGTTATTGTCCGATTTTAAAAAATTTCGGCCATTTTGTATGTTGTACCAAGGCCACCAACTGTGCCAAGTTTGGAAGAAATCGGTGCAGCGGTTACCAAGATATACACATGTAACCATAAGTGGGGGTGGCTACGACCATTTTCCAAAAATTTATAATATTCTTATTTTTCGTCTGAAAATTATTGTAAATATCGATTTTGAGTGAATACTCTCCAGTAGTTACTAAAACATCGCAGTTTTCGTATTTCTGAAAATTACCGTTACATGGGAAGTGGGCGTGGTTACAGTCCGATTTCGCTAATTTTCAATACCAACCTACCTTGGATAAAGGGAAACCTACATACCAAATTTCGTTGAGATATCTCAATTTTTGCTCGAGTTATCGTGTACACGGACGGACGGACAGACATATATGGCTTAATCGACTTCTCTCTTCATTCTGAGCATTTATGTATAAATTTGTCTATNGACGGACGGACGGACGGACAGACAGTCACCGCTTAATCGATTTCTCTTTTCATCCTGATCATTTATGTATACATTTGTCTATATCTATCTCGATTCGTTTTGCCTGTTACAAACAACCGTTATGTGAACAAAATTATTATACCCTTGTGCACAAGTGCGCTCGGGTATAAAAATCAGTCAGTGCCTTTTACTTTAAAAGTCATCAATATAAATCAGTCACCGGCCTTTATTTTTTAAATCATTCGTATAAAAGTCATTAATATTTTTCGCAGTCAAGAAGGGTTTGGAAACAAAAGTTTATTATGACTTATACAAAAGACTTTTATAAGTATGATTTAAAAAATAAAAGTAAGTGACTGATTTTTATACCCGAGCGCACTTGTGCACAAGGGTATTATAACTTTGTTCACATAACGGTTGTTTGTAACAGGCAAAACGAATCGAGATAGATATAGACAAATGTATACATAAATGATCAGAATGAAAAGAGAAATCGATTAAGCGATGATTGTCTGTCCGTCCGTCGTGCTACACGATAACTCGAGCAAAAATTGAGATATCTTAACGAAACTTGTGGTTGTACGTTCTTTCGGCAGTGGACGGTTGGTATTGAAAATGGAGCAGAAATCGGACAGTAACCACGCCACCTCCCATGTAACGGTAATTTTCAGAAATACGAAAACTGCGATTTTTAGTAACTACTGAAGATTATTACACTCAAAATCGATATTTACAATAATTTTTAGACGAAAAATAAGAATGTTATAAATTTTTGGAAAATGGGCGTAGCCACGCCCACTTATGGTTACATGTGTATATCTTGGTAACCGCTACACCAATTTCTTCCAAACTCGGCACAGTTGTTGGCCTTGATACAGCATACTAAATGGCCGAAAATTAAAAAAATCGGAAAATAACCACGCCCACATCCCATATAACGGTAATTTTCGGAAATACGAAAATTGCGATATTTTAGTAACTACTGAAGATTATTCACTCAAAATGTATATTTACAACAATTTTTAGAGGAAAACTAAGAATGTTATAAATTTTTGGAAAATGGGCGTAGCCACGCCCACTTATGGTTACATGTGTATATCTTGGCAACCGCTGCACCGATTTCTTCCAAACTTGGCACAGTTATTGGCCTTGGTACAGGATACCAAATGGCCGAAAAGTTTTAAAATCGGACAATAACCACGCCCACATCTCATATAACGGTAATTTGGAGAAATACGAAATCTTCGACAAATCAGTAAATATTAAAGCCAATTTATTCAAAATTGATGCTTGCAACAATTCCTTACCAGGAAATACGTCTATAATAAAATTTTGAAAAATAGGCGTGGCACCGCCCACTTATGATCACATATATGTATCTCGGTAACCGTTCCACCAATTTGTACCAAACTCGGTATTTTTATTAGAAATGCTTTAAACGTCAATATTTTGAAATTTAAGGACGCTAATTTACTCAAAATTGATACACCCCGGCTTACCATGTAGCGGTAGCTTTCGAAAAGGTGAAAATCATATATTTAATATTTGCGCCGGGTATTTAATGTTCGGCTCCGCTCGAACTTAGACTTTCTTACTTGTTATTTATGAGTTTTATAAATAAAAGTCTTCGATTACTGTTATCTAAGACATATAATTTAAAAATCAAAAATAACTGTTATTTGCAGATTACTTACATAAAAATCAAAAATAATTGTTGATTTGTTATAAAATAAAAGTCAGAACGGTTATTTAAAGAGTAATTACATAATAGTCAAACAATAATTGTTAAAGAGCGATTTTTTAATAAAAGTTGTAACTGTTAAGGTCCCCGATTCAAACCAGAGAACAGCTTTGAGTATGATCAAGCCTTTTTGATCACACTCACTAAAAATCAAGCACAAGCGAACGCCACACTCGGCTACTATGTGTTCGATCGAGATGCATACCCGACAGCTGCTTTGGTTACGAACGAGTCTGTTCGATCACCCTCGCTATAAATTGAGCACAAGCGAACACCACACTCGGACACCCGCAGCTAACCCGAAAATTTGTGTAACAATGAAACGGACACCCGAACATTGCGATAAAATGCAGGACAACAAAGAAATTTACGCTGAAGGTAACTGGCGCCAATATGTTCCCACAAAGCATACGAAAATGTTGTTGCTTTGTGCTTGTGCATACGCAATGAAAAAATTAGAAGCGAAGTAGACAAAAATGTTTTTGCATCTATTTCGTATAGTTTCGCGTGGAAAGCTGTGTGTGTATATATTAGAACACAGCCTAAAACTATGTAGGTACATAAGTACTTTTACAAAAAATAAATGTGCACCGAGTGTATAGGGCTTGGGCATTGCCGATCTACACACATTTATACCTAAATGGATGTAGGCGTCGTGATGCCGCATTTTGTATGAGCAAAAATATAAGAAATGGTTAAATGTACACTTAAACAAACTACCGAAAAATTCAACCTTCTCTTTACCCTCTACGCACAAAAACTAAGAACACCGCGATGAGAAGGCAACATTTTTTGTAGAAACAAAAACGTCATAAGCCAATCAAGAAAATTTTGTGCACACTCGGGTTGAAACTCGAACACCCGGGTATATTGAGCTGCAAAGCACCCGAACCCAATCAAGTATGTATGAAAAGCAATCGGGTGTTGTGGCCAACATGTTCGTCTTGAGCTCAGTCAATAACGAACAATACTTCTGCTCGTATACAGAGAACGATGCAAAACGGGTTTTGTTAGATGATCGAGTATACACGAAAATCATGCACCCGCTGCAGATGTCTGATTCAAACTAAAAAAACCGTCATGTAAAACGTTTTTTATTTTAACAATAGGCTTAACTTATAAAAGGTTAGCGCTTACACATACAATGTTGTCACACAAAGGGGAGGGACCTATAGTTTTACTCCGACTCCGAACGGCGATTGTATTTTCATGAGTAGCTGTTTTTCATGGCAGAAATACACTCGGAGGTTTGCCATTGCCTACCGAGGGGCGACCGCTCCAAGCATTCGTACGGGACAAAAACACAAGTGGTTTTCGCGACCAACATTT